GAATAAGTTAAGGATGTTTTCTTTTGGACTGTTTTTAGACCCAGATCAGACCAGACTAGATCGGACTTCCGTAGCTATAAAATGCACAGAGATTAAACGTTTACTAGATCAGATCAGACCAGAACCGCAAATTTCAGTCCAAAAGAAAACACTCTAATTTAATACAACAAATGGTGAGAGTGTGAAAATGACATTTACTATCCTTATCCTTGTTCATTCACTATACCGGCGTTTAAACTTTAAAAGTTTAAAGGTTGGAAACTTGGAATGAAGTGCGGTAGAGCTAAGATTCAGTTCCCTAGGTTTTGGAGCTCTGATTATCCTCTGGGTTTCGCACTGGTTTAAGGCTTTAAGCCGAAGGCAGGAAACACGTGCGAAGGCCACATCGTCACATCGTGGAGGAAGGAGAAGAAGTAATAATGGTGGAAACTGGAAAGGCTTACATTCATTTATCGCTTGTTGGTACAATTACATAGGAACGTTCAAGGTTTTGAGGGATAATGGGATATCATGACAATCTTATCGCTTGTTGGTACAATTACATTAATTTTTTGAGGGATATCATGGCAGCAATGTGTAAACCTGCCATCCAAGGTTTTTTTAGGGAAAGTTCCCGAAATAGGACTAAAACAGTTTCAAAATTTCAAAATAGAACTGTCATGTTTTTTATTTTGAAAATAGGGGTAATTACTGTCAAGTTTGGAAAATACTGTCATGTTTGAAGTCTGATACTGCCAAAACATTATAGTAATTAGTCTTATTTTGGGAATAAAAACATGACAATCTTATTTTGGAATTTTCAAACATTTTTAGTCCTATTTCGGGTAATATCTTTTTTTTTTTAATTATGATCAACACTTTCAACTCTATCATAGTATCATGTAATTGCCATTAATACTTGATAGGGCGGATATGTCTCGATTCATAATTTTTAAGTAGGATATCTAACCATAGAAACTGCGTAAAAGATTAAGAGATTCATCGCGTCTTTGGCAAAATGTAATGTATACGTAGTAGTATAATTTTCACATTGTTTAGAAGTAGAGTTTTTGCCGCTTTTGGTCCCTCGACTATTATGTCAGTGACACTTTTGGTACTTGACTTTTAATTTTTTCATTTTTAGTCCTCGACTATTGAACTAGAGACACTTAGTCCCCGACTTCAAGGTTTCCCACATTTAGTCCCCTGAGTATTATCAAATTAACACTTTTAGTCCTTTCATTATGATTTTGACACAATTAGCGGATGACTAAAAATGCCACTATTATAATACTTGAAGGACCAAAAGTGTCACTTTTACGAAAGTTGAAGGACTAAATGTGGAAATTTTTAAAGACGGGTACCAAAAGTGTCTATGGCGCAATAGTTGAGGGACTAGAAATGGAAAAAATCAAAGTTGAGTACCAAAAGTGTCAATGACATAATAGTCGGGAGACTAAAAGTGGCAAAAACTCTTTAGAAGTATTTTATGTTCATTAGGGTGACTTTGGATATTGATAGACCTCAAAAAGCAGACTGCAGTGGCAAAAGAAAGGTGGAATCAGCCTCTAGGTATATTTCTAATGCGTTAAATTGCACACTTTTTATTTTATACTTCGTATGTGCTACAGTAGACAAGTAAATATTTTTCCCCAAATGTGACGAAGGCAGCATGCATGGTAGAAGTTGTGATACCATCCGACATGGGTTTGGGATTAGGGCCTCCGGCGGCAAATGTGGAATGAGGTGATAACAAATGACTAGTTTAAACAATCAAACCCGTGGGGGAAAGAGTGGAGGATTAGAACTTAGAAGTAACATGGACATGGCATCGAGCAATTTGTGAATGGAGGGCCGAAGTACCAAATTGGAACAAAAAAGAGGATGGTTTATCAAAATTGGTATAAAAAAAAAATCTCGTAAAAAACGGAGATCCAACGACAAATAAGTCATTTTTTTTGGTGAACGAGACACTTTTAATCACCGAATTTAGAAATTTCAACATTTAGTCCCCCCAATTATTTTGAAATTGACATTTTCAACCCTTCTAACGTGATTTTATCATGATAGATAAAAGTTTAAATACGTTTTTAGTCCCCGCAAATATAGCACATTTTGTTTTAGGTACCTGCAAAATATTTTCTTTGTTTTTCATCACTCTAATTTATGTTGATTTTCTTTTTAGTCCATGACTAATGATAACAACCTCTGCTTGACAACGAAACAATCCCGACTAACAGGTATCCTTTAATTCTTTGTCATGTCATTCAAAAAGCATTTAATTTCATTTTTGAGGGTTTTTAATACATATTTTAAAAATGCGAATAAATAGGTTTAATATTGTTCTAACTCTCTTATTAGCCTCAAAAAATTATAAATTGATAAATTTAAATGTTTCTAGTAGATTTATGCAACCGAAAATAGAAAAAATTCTAAGTCGAGCTATTTCGGAGTTAGAAATGGACTAAAACCAAACTAGCGCATATTATAGGGATGAAAAACAAAGAAAATGTTTGCAGGGGCCTAAAACAAAGTGTACCATATTTGTAGGGACTAAAACCATATTTAAACCATAAATAAATGGCAAAAAAATGTCAATGGGGGTGTTTCACAATCAACGATTGGCTGCTAGTTGATAGCTAGGCACAGACTCAGTCTGATCCGATCCTTGCCATATAAAAGGGAGGCAAGGGACCGGCCCGCTAGACAGTAATAATAGATCGGGTCGGATATACAATAATTGATCCCAGTCCGGGTCTCCATGAAATTATTATTTTTTCGAGATAGTCCAACCATTGGGACCATGTCGTGTGCAAAACCTGCCGGTCCCTATCAGTATGAAATCACTGTTGGCTCTATCCTTCCAAAATCAACGTGTCGACTGTGTTGCTCTTAAGTTGACCATCTAGCTCCGAGAATTGATCTGCAGAATGATCACAAAAAAGAACTGAAAAATATGTTAGAAGCTCGAGACGCGTCAGACGCTGTCCTAAGGAATTATTTCCGGCGTACGGAAATTTCCCCCAAGATAAATGAGCCCTTCGGTTATAAAACCGGTACTAGAACTAACGAGAAGAAACTAGTATATAAATCCAATAATAAAAGTGTATTGTTAATTTGTGGTATACTTGTATACACACTTCACCATATAGACATGTATTAATCTATGAAGAGTAATGTGTTTATCTCTTTGAATTCCCACAACATTCAGTACCCATTTTCTCTCTTTTTAATAGGCAGAATGAGTGAATCAGTATATGAGCCTATTCTTCCAAGTATATCTCCTTCATAGCTGCAAGCATCTTATTATTCTAATAGATATAACATGATATGATGATGATGATATATCCAAATGCACACATTAAAATTCCTTATTGTTATCTCTCTAGGGCTTCCAGCCCGAGTTCTATTTTGTTCACCCCTTCATGGAGGGTGAACATCACCCCCTCCCTTCAACACATGACACTTGGCATTACAATTGCAAAATTTAAAAGTCTTGCCAAGTGTCATGTGTTGGAGGGAGGGGGTGATGTTCACCCTCCATGAAGGAGGTGAACAAAATAGAACTCTTCCAGCCCTTAGAGTTCGGTTTCTCCGTCTTCGATAATATTTCGAAGGACGGCCATTTGGTTTGCCTGGTTCTCGGAGCATCAAATCAGGTTCCCAAAAGTTTTTCCCTAGCGAGAGCTCTCGTGTAGGGTTTGTGTTTAGCCGCCCTGGTGCAGCGCTTCTTTCAATCGACGCAGCTCTGCGCCAGATTGCCGTGGTTTAGACGCAACTCGTGATGGATGATCGTGACAGCGAGAAGATAGTGGAAGAAGCGGGAGAGAGACGTAAGGATGATCAAGATATGGTTAGCGTGGAGAGGTTGATGGCAGAGTTTTGGGTAACCACCATGGGTTGTACGCTATTGAGAGAGGGTATCAATCAAGCGACAGTCCGACCTCCGCCTGAACCACCACCATGGATTGTACGGGGTGCTGGAGTCCGTGAAAGTTTTTCCAGTAATTTTAATTTGTTCATAATTTGTTTTCTTGTGTTCATCTTTGTTGTTGGTTTTGACAGTTTGTTTGAATTTTTAGCCTCTCGTTATGCCATTGTGTGTGGTTGGGTTTATGAGAATAAGTTTGGCTGTGTCAAGCCCACTGCATGGTTAGCGATTCGTGTTGCTCTTTTAGGGGTGACCGTCTCAAAGTCCGATCATAGGGTTTACAGTCGTAGTTGTTGGAGTTCAGATGGCTTCAGTTTTATTTTTCTTTTGACTGATGTAATGATCCCGAATCTTTTGAAATGAATAAATGTTTGTTTTGATGATAAAAAAATCCAAATGCACACAAAAAACCGAACGTCGTATACAAAAGGACCGTAATATACACTTTATTGATAATAAAGTATGAATTAAGTAGTACAAAAGACATTTAATGAATAATGATGCCAAAAGTTTTTTCATTATCTCCTAGTATATATATTGCTTAACGTTAGGAAAAGTCTGTCCAGGTTCGTATTAAGTTAATCAATTAACAATCAATGATACTCTTCCTATTTTGGAAAGTTCTTGTTATTTTATTTTTCTAATATGAGTAATTAAGCTCTATTTTGAGAAAAAAATAGTCCCATTTTAGAAATTTCTATATCTTTTTGTACTCCCTCCGTCCCATAATTATCTTCATTCTTTTCTTTTTGGTCCGTCCCAAATTTATCTCTTCTTTCTCTTTTTAGCAAAGGATTTGTGGTTCACAACCATTCTTACACATTTCTCTCTCCTCTGCACAACTCTCCACCACACATTTCCCACTTTCTTAATCTCCATGCCCAGTCAAAACCGAAGTTAATTCTGGGACGGAGGGAGTACTATTTTAAGTAATTCACTTTTTTATATTTTTACAATAATGCTACACTATTCCCCCGGATAGGTCGGGACTGAAGTTTAATTTCTAAGCTTTCAATCCATATTTGGACATGTAATTTAGAACTTAGCCCAGCGCATCCCATCCCAGTCCAGCCTAGCCCAGCCCAGCCCACCCCACCCAGCCTAGTCCTTCTCTGTATATTCTTTTGTCGGCAAAGCTAGCATCGCTCCCTCTCTATAATCGCCGGTGGCGATCATCTCCTTATCACCAAAGTTCAACTGCTGGTGTTCTCTATGGACCAATAGCTACACACATTATGATGTCGAACACCACCGTCTTCGCCTCTACCTCATCTCAGACAGCTGGTAAGTATGTTTTCTTCCATCCTTTTAATTATTTCTCCTTAAAAAGTATTACCTTTCACTTAATGTGGCTGATGTATTTGAAATATTTTCTAAATGCCTTGTGCTTAATTGTTTCTGTAATTTCAACCTAAACAGTATTGATATACAGAGTATATATTTCTATGTTGTTTTAAAGAAATGATTTCAATGTATCAGTTAGTTTAAATATAAAATAACCACTCATTTTAGAGAATAATAAATGTAATATATTACTCTGTATATGTCATCTAAATTATAGGAACAACAATTATAACAAAGGTTACTCGAAGTAACCTGAAATATGACAGCTTGTGAGTTTGGTAGTTTAATTTATTTTTTCTATTAGCCTATTTCTTTTGGATGTCTTCTGTTTTGGTTATGTTTGATTACACCTATAGAAACTTTTTTTATCCTTTATGAACCCATATCTTATTTTTGCCTATCACCTCAGCTCAAACGTTCATAAATGACCAAGGAAATGCTCTGTAGCTTCACCCAATGTGATGAGATAAGCTTTTATAAAAGAACTATTTTTTTTACCTTTTAAGAAATGCTTTTACTTCTAGTTTATTGAGATGTGATTATTTATTAACAACAGTTTGTTTTATATCTATTTTAATCAGATATTTAATCATGTGTCTGTTTTAGGATCGACTTAATTATCAAAAACTTTTTTTCACTTGTTTGGATTATCACTTATTCTGCACCGGGGCACAAAGTTCTCTTTAAATTATTGTAATACATTACACTGTTATTTAAAACATATAATTCATTAAACTATTTAATACTCCATATATTATAAACCACTATTTATTATCTCACTGTTGTTAAGTTAGTGTTCTTCATTTTTATTTCAGGAAGCAGAGTTGTTTAATCCCTTTATGTTTTTAGTAGCACGGATAATATGTAAACTGTGTTACTGTAATCTTTTATAATTGTATGTAGTATTTGTTAACTGGTTTTTGTGTGACAATTTGAAAAATCAATATGATAGCGTGTTTTTATATATATTATAACGTGTTTTTGCAACACAGTTTAGAAAGTCAATAGAATATTCTGTAATACGTATACTAATCGTATACAATGAGTAAAGATGATGTAAAACAGGACTACAAAGATGTAAATTAAGACATACATTACACTTGGTGTTTACATCGGTACAAAGTTAAAACATTTACTTGCAAAAAATCATTTTCATCAACTTGATGGGCATTTTGAAGCTGAAGAAATGACCGGAAGTTATACACAACCCCGGGAAACCTCCCATCATTGTATTCTTGAAAATGTAAAAATTGACTGCCTTTATGTTTTCCTAAAAACACGACTATGTCAAGGCAAATATTCTCATTAGTTAATTGTCACCATGTAATCATGTAAAAGGAATGTTATCCCCCTCTATTTGTAAAAAACTTAGTCATATTTAGTCAACTAATCAACTTTTAACCTAGTACTTACATGCACCTCATGGTCTTGAAAAATGCACTCCAGTGCGCGAGTAACATTTTTGTGACTGAATGCTGGACAACCACACACCAGCCTCACTCATATAGCCCATTTTGTCTTGGAGGTAGTAAGCTCTTAGATTCTATTCAGCATCTTCACAACTCCAAAACATACTGAAACAGTAAATTAGAAATGTCAAGTATTTGCTTCGAACAATCAACATATGGAAAGACATGAGTTGAGAAACGAAACATGAAATTGAAGTTAAGAACACATTTGTCAGTATTTTTATACTCCGTATGTGATTTAGTTCAATTCTGTTCTGAGTATTTATAATTTTGGGGCCTATTTATTTGCAGAAACTGGCGAGGGAAACTGTATTATGCGTGCTTTGTTACGTGGAAGTTATGACTGGAAACTGCCACGTTTTCTTATCTGAGAATCCCAAGATCTGCTGCATGCGTGTTTTGTATTTTTTCTGAGAGACCACATGGAGTTTGGCTCAACTTTGTAATTTTTTAGCCTATTTATTTATCAAAGTATGACGCAAGGCTCCAAAATTTTCCTGGGCGGGAACAGTTAGGGGACAGACGGTCCCCTTTTATATATTTAAAGATTCTCGTGACGTGTTCGAATATCATTGGATTTATTGCGTCGAAAAATAATGAACAAGTGAATCCAGTGTCAACTTCCTAACCCAAACAAACACTTCTGCAGCTGCCATGACAGTTAGGAGACGAGCTTCAAAAGAACAGTCCAGTGAAGGTGCTGTCCTGGACTCCGGCGATCCCAAAAGGAGCCCTAAGTTTGACGATGAATCGAATATTACTCCTTCAAAAGCTCCATTAATGCTCAAATGCGCCGCAATTTTTTCGATCCCATACTTTTACTTGATCTTCTACCACTATCGAATAGAACCAGAGCTCCGTAGATCCATCGTAATTAATGCTATAATTAGCTTGGTCGGATACTTCTTAACCCTGGCTATCATCCCAGTAGCCTCGAAATATGTCATCAGAAGGAACTTATTCGGATATGATATCAACAAGAAGGGCACCCCTCGAGGAACCATTAAAGTGTAAAGTCATTATCTTTTATACATTTTATTGGAAACATTATCACCATTTTGAATGGGTTTTATTTCTAGATAGGTGAATCATTAGAGGGCTAATTGTATATTGTTCCTTTAATGCAACATGCTCTAATTGAAATTTGTCTTGCAATATGATACGGAATAGCATTCTGAATAATGGTAATATGATTTTGTTGTTCTCTTTTGCAGGCCAGAGTCGCTGGGGATTGTTGTTGGGATTGTTTTCTTGATCGTGGCTATCTTGTTTCAGTATTTTAATTTCACAGCGGATTCAATTGTATGTAAATTCTTCTTCTTTCATTTTCCCTTTGTTTAGCAAAAAAAAATTTAAAGTAGAAGAAACTGAAATATATTCCAAAATGCTTGAATGGTATTCTCAAGGCCATGGAAACTTGCAAATCTTCTGAAAATAAGAGCCAAAGATTTCATTTTGTTTGTGTCGTTAGTGGTGGTGGTGAAGTTGACATTAATGCAAAATTGGATGTTAGTTGCTCATTACCAACAGAGACTACATATATAGTATTATTGGACAAATAACCTGTATTTTTTAAGTATTAGAAAATAAGATGTGATACTTTATTGCTTTAAGAAATACCTAGTTTCTGTTCTGTATGTGATAAGCTTGTAATCAAGAATCTTGAAGAGTAGCCTTACTGGCCACAAGTTTGTGCATTTTACATTGGAAGTTTGGTTCCCACCTGATCATTACTAGAAGATAAATGTAAAAGGACAATTTGCAAATGAAGATTTTCCTGATTACCTCAACTAATGATAATCTTGTACTCTGGCTAACAAACAGTTTGCTCAAATAATACTCCTATACTGATGTATACCCCTTGGACCTTTAAAACATCATATATATCTATAATGAATGAATTGTTTGGCACATTTATGTATTTCTACAAGTCATTTTCACATTGGTGTAAAGTGAATGGTAAAACTCTAAGAAGCAGAAAAACTTCTCTCGGTTCGCACTTTGCCATTTCGGAACGCTTGAGTGTGTCAGAAACTTCAAGTTTCTGTTTCCAGGTTGTTTCTGCAGTTAAGAAGAATTGGGAAACCCGTTTCCCTAATTAATTAGCTTTCAAAAACTTTGGGTTTTAAATATTTTTATGGGATATTTTTAATGAAAACTAGTGTATGTGTATTGATTTTTAGTGGATTTTTATGGGATTTTCATAACAACAGTAATGTCTTTGTGATATTCCATAGTGCGATGTGTTCTGAGAAATTTATTGCATTTGCATTTATTTTTGTACGGATGTACTAATACAACAACTACAACATCACCCCAGTGACGTAAAGGCTCCCACCTACGGTGGGGAAAGGAGGGTTGAATGTACGCGGCCTTACCCCTGTACTAAAACAAAGAGAGACTGTTTCCAGATGATCCATGATGAAAATTCCATCGAAAGTTGTGGATTGACTGCTGCTTTATAACAAAGAAGCGCAGCCACTTATTTCTATATTTGATCATGTCGACTATTTCTTTATCAATAATTATTTAACAAAGTTATATGGAAAACTAAATTTATGTATATATCATATATGAAAGAAACACATATATTGTATCCCATATATTCTAAGATATTGTTTCCCACATTTCACGTTTCTCATTTTGAGTTCCCATGCTACTTTGGTAAAACTTTGTCTCTCTCTCTCTCTCTCTCTCTCTCTCTCTCTCTCTTTTTTTTCTTCATTTTGAGTTGCCATGCTACTTAGGTAAAACTTTGTCTCCTTTTTTGTTTGTTTGCAGTGGCTTGTTGAGTACAATGCTGCATTAGCTTCAATCTGCTTCATGATGTTGCTTGGATTTGTTGATGATGTTCTTGATGTGCCATGGAGAGTGTATGTTTTTTTTCACACTTAATTATATTGGAAGCTTGCATGTTTGACTTACTAATTTGTGAAAAAAGTTCATTTGATTTGCTGTTGTGTAAAAGGCAGGAAATTACTTTTACCATCTATCGCGGCACTTCCGTTGTTGATGGCATATGCTGGGCATACAACTATTATTATACCAAAGCCTTTAGTTTCATACGTCGGAATAGAAGTTTTGGATTTAGGTAAATTTATAATTCAAATAACACATCTCTTATGGTTGTATGGACTTATATGTCACTTGCCCACTTTAACAAGTACTCTTTTGTGTTACATGAACCACTTTAACAAGTACTCCTTTGTGCTACATGAACTGCTTGGTTCATACATTTTGTAATGCCTCTACCAACTTTTCTGTGGACAGGATGGATTTATAAACTTTATATGTGGCTCTTGGCTATATTTTGCACAAATTCAATCAATATCCATGCTGGTATCAATGGGCTTGAAGTGGGGCAGACAGTTGTTATTGCAGCAGCTGTAAGCTACAAGATTTAAACATGTGAATATATAAATAAAACAACAACATGCAAACCTTAACGCCAAAAAGTTTGGGGTTGGTTAACATGAATCGACATATGACATGGGAGTTAAAAAATAATAAATAGAGATCTATATATAAATAAATAGTCTAACATACAGTGTTACTTGTAGATTATCATGCATAATATCATGCAAATCGGAGCATCCAGTGACCCTGAGTACAAACAAGCCCATGCGTTTTCTCTTTACCTTGTTCAGCCATTGATTGCCACTTCCTTGGCGTTACTTTCTTACAATTGGTATAGTAGTAATACTTGGCTTTGAGACTATCTTTTTTCCCATAGAGTTATGCATGCTATTTACCATCCATGTGTTTTGTCACATACTATCTATTATAGGTATCCTTCCTCGGTCTTTGTTGGTGACACCTTCACCTACTTTGCTGGAATGACCATGGCAGTAGTTGGCATTTTGGGCCACTTTAGGTATGCCAACTATATTTTTATTGCATCAGTATAAATGTAAAATCGAGTACAAAGTGAACATAAGTTTTGACTCTCCCTGGCAGGGCGTATCTACTATGGGGGCAGGGTGGCAGCTGCCCCTACTCAATCCCCACCTAACCCCATTATATATATCAAATTTTATTTGTGTAATTTTTATATATTCTATTATATATGTATAATATAAATTTAGCATCCCTAATGACAAACCAAGTTCCGTAGCCCATTGGGATGAATGATGAACGCTCTACTAGTGTGTCCAAGTTCGAATCTCTGTGGCCACTCTGAGAGTGGACTATTTTTTTGCCCCAACTCTTTAAAATTTTTTCAATATAACATTCAAATTAATTATTTTAAATGTAGCTAATAAATGATACTAAATTAATTCCAACAAAAATTTCAATAACATATTTTTACACTTAATATTAAAACTTGTTTGTTTATTTATAACTTAAATTACTTATAATTACATATTTCATCCATTTCTTATATATTTTTGGTTTTGCATGTAATAAACTATAGAATGTCTAACACTCTTAACCTAAGATCCAAATTAGTTAAAAACAATTTATTTTAATGCAACTATTAAATGATATGTAATTTCAATCACATCTTTTCACACCTAATATTAAAACACAATTGTTTATTTGTAACTTAAATTAGTTATAAATTTATAATTTCATATGAAATCATATGTTTCTTATAAAAAAATTATTTTATTTTTAATAAATTGTTGACTATTTTTATTAATATTTATTTCCTAAAAATTGTGTGATAACGTAGTGTAAATTTGCCCCCACTGGCCGAAATTTCTGGATACGCCACTGCTCCTTAGCATCTTTTACCATTTGGGAATGATTACAGGAATCTTGAACTCTGAAAGTTTCGCTTGTTTACAGAACATCTTAATAGTTCATAGGTTATAGCTGATACTTTTATCCTGCCCATGAATCCATGATATGTCCTTCAAATAACTCGGAAGTAGAGCTAAAATTTTGCCTTATCGTTTTGATAGAATTTTTATGTAGTTGAAAGCTTCACAATTATGATGGAATTTAGAATGCTGTATATAGTCCTTAACTAGTTAACTGTCATCATCACCCCAGTGTCGCAAAGGCTCTCACCTACGGTGGGGTAAGGGGGGTCGGCTGTCCTTAACTAAATCACAGAGAGAGAGAGACTGTTTCTGGATGACCCTAAACCCTTAACTAGTTAACTATAAACGGAATAATATGGAGACTAATTAGATTTAAAACTAGTTTAACATGAGAAAAGTCACTGACTTAGTCTCCATGTCATGTCTTTTTAGCGAAACGCTTCTGATATTCTTCACCCCACAAGTTTTGAACTTCCTGCTGTCACTACCTCAGGTACCCGCCTGACCTCCACTCATACGGTTACATTATATTTATGAATTCCCTAACATGCTGCTTGTTGCTTCCTTGTCCTCTGACAGCTAGCTGGTATTATCCCTTGTCCACGGCATCGACTGCCTAAGTAAGTAATTTTACTTGGTTGCTTGACTCGTGAAATATTCACAACACAATGAACTTATATTGGGAGTTTGCACTGACCCTTCAGGTTTGATCCTCAGACTGAGCTACTGACTGGTACAAATGATGGAACATTAGTGAACTTCTTCTTAAGACGATTTGGAAGAATGTCCGAACAGTCTCTATGCACTGTATTACTACTTTTCCAGGTAATTTAATAGGGTTCTTCTTTGTGCCTTGCAAAGCCTCAATACATAAAATTTAGATATTTCTTCAAATTAATTGTATTTGTATTTGTCTGTTGTCAAAAAAGCCTATGAGATGTGTATATTTGTAAAATTTTAATTGTCTTCAATCGAATTAAATTTCCATCATATTTTCCAACCGAATGGTCCTAAACCCAAAATTAAATAACTTATTCCTTTTGGCAAGGTAGTCAAAGTCGCGAGGCGCACTTAAGGCGCTAGAGTACTTGTATCGCCTGAGACGAAAGGCGCAAAAAAGCGCTCGCCTGACTCGGGTGAAGCGCACTATTTAGAAAATATTATGTATACTATTCTAGAGTGATCCAATATGACATATTCAACACCATATTGAACTAAATGCATCAAAAAGTCATGTTTCTAAAAAATAAAGCCATGATTCACCAAAATAATGTCTTGATTCACAAAAACAAAACACTGAGTGGGGTCTGTCTTTGTTGATTTTGCAATTTTAGCACTAGGAATAACATAAATCATATAGTGTATGAAACTATTGACTGAGTTAGATTATATGAAGTTTTTATACAGTTAAAATATGAAATGATACTAGGAAGATAGAGTTATAGACTGGTATAATAAGATGAAATAATATGTTGTTCACATGTAAACTGGTAGGTCAGGTACATATATTATGTTTGATTTGTATAGCATATATTAGAAGCAAAAAGAACCATAAAGTAAGAAAGAAGATAGACTGAAAGAACAAAATGAAAGGATCACAAAGAAGATGACAGGATAAATGAAAACTACAAGCTGAAAAAGAAGAAAGAACGTGGGAAGATGAAGAAGAAGACGACACCTTATGGCTTCGTTGAATGTGTTTTAGTGCCGTGCATGTTGCGCAAGACTTTTCCCACGACTAAGTATGGTTTAATATGGGTTTAAGTTGTGTTTACCTATTATTTGGACGGGCTAAATCTTATTATTAGTATGGGCTTATTATTTAAAATAGGATGAAACAAAAAAAAGGCCATAAACCTTTTCCAGCCTAGGCGACTAAAGCGTGCGCTTTTCTCGCTTTGGCGCTTCTGCGCTTTATGCGCCTGAGACAGGAGGGTGCGCCTGGTCATCTTTCAAGCGCTGGACCTCTATTGCGCTTCGCCTGGTGCGCTTAAGCGCTGAAGCGCTCGACTTTGACTACCTTGCCTTTTGGTATCCCCCCTGTCACTACTAAATTTCACGACCCAAACATGGCCTGAATGAAATGAAGAAATAAATGCCTGCATTTCTCATGTTTGAGTGGCTGTTAGCAATGACTTCCTTAAACGATGGGATTTATTAGTGTTTTTAACACATTAATTTCAATTTGATGATCTGCATAACATTAATCCACTGAATTCCTGCCAAACACGCTATGTTATAAACTTACAATGCACAATTTCTATTTGTTGCTTGCCTGCAGGGCATCTGCTGCTGCTTCTGTTTCCTGCTAAGGTGGCTTCTTACTGGTTGGTATAAATAATGATCGGTTGCCATAACACAAAGAATATATATTTCCTCTGGTGAGCACATAAATGAATGAGATGAGATCCCCATTGTAGTCTTGTTGAAACTTTTTATTATCATGATTTGACCAACCCACCCCCAGAATTGCACCAAGAAAACTTTTTTGTATATTATTGGGGGGGGGGGGGTGGGGGGGGTGGGGGGGGCTTGAGAAGAACTAAATGTACTAATATCGGGTGGATCCAATAATTCCGTAACATTTTGTTCTGCTAACATAAGATTGACATGAGCTGATGAGCATATGAATGTGGAGTTCCTGAGCTTAATTAATTAATTTTTTTTGTGCTCAATAAATGTCAGTCTCGATCACTTCAATGTATTCAGTGTGATGTGAATTGAAAGACAAAAAGCAATCTGTAATATTAGTAGAAAACTGTGGATGTAAAGATTTATTATGTACACAGAATACAATCTACTCAAGCATCACGTCTGAATATGTGATGGGAAGATTGCAATGGTAGAGAGGAAATGAAAGGCTTCTTTCTAAATAAGCGAATAGACTAAATGGTTGCAAAAAATCTTGCAACCATTTTTGTGGAAAGAACAATTGTTCCACGACCTTATTTGATCATCAACTTCTTGACTAATATCCATACAAATCGCTCTTCAAACTTTCAAAGTCATATGCTTGCAGCCTTGGTGCATAGTGCATACATCTACTTAACTAGTTTTGATCTCTCTAGTTGTTCTACTTCTATCCCAATATTACTAGAATGTAAGGCATGACATACGATAACAAAAAAACATGTCTTCTGGTTGTTAGCCTTCTCTATTCTAATCAATTTTGTGGTTGCAAACAACGGCCAAGGCACTTCTTAACACAAATGATTCATCGTGTACTTATGGCTTTAGTTTTTTTGAGCCCCACCATTTTACAAAATTAGAACCCTACTAAGACCCCGCTTAGTGGCACTATTTTTTGGCTTATCATGTTCTTCAGCCCATTTTTCCACCAAATATGTGTGTGTGCGCGTGCTACAGCAACAGGGGAAGACAACCGCCTAGAGAGAACCTCTCGATACCTATGTATAATAGGAATTGAGTTAATCACATGAAAAAACCTTCTCAACAATTCTATTTATTACTATTATTCTTATGAATTATAATTATAAATATACTTTTAATTATAACTATAGAAAATTATAGCTATAAATATAGTTATAGTTATTGTAATTATAATTGTGTAATAGATATAATATATTTAATTTTAGTTATCATAATTTTTTATAATTATGATTAATTTAAATTATATTTGTAAGTACAATTATAATAATAGTAATGATTATAATTATAGAAATATTTAAATGAGATCAAATAAGAAAAGTTCAGGCCAGGTCCAAAAGATTCAGATCATATAAAAAATATTCAGATCAAATCAAACCCAATGAGAAAGATTCAGATCAAATCAGATTCAGAAAATTATAGCTATAAATATAGTTATAGTTATTGTAATTATAATTGTGTAATAGATATAATATATTTAATTTTAGTTATCATAACTTTTTATAATTATGATTAATTTAAATTATATTTGTAAGTACAATTATAATAATAGTAATGATTATAATTATAGAAATATTTAAATGAGATCAAATCAGAAAAGTTCAGGTCAGAAAGATTCAGATCATATCAAAAATAATTATAGAAATATTCAAATAAGATCAAATAAGAAAAGTTCAGGCCAGGTCCAAAAGATTCAGATCATATAAAAAATATTCAGATCAAATCAAACCCAATGAGAAAGATTCAGATCAAATCAGATCGGATTAGAAAAATTCAGATCAAATCAGAATTTAAAAAAATTCATATTAGAAACATTCAGATCAGGTGAAGAGAACAACTTCTGATTTTGTTCATGGCAACACCCTTTTTATACTCAATCGCCCCTCAAGGCCTCAATCAGTCAACCCTCTCTTCACAATCCCCAATTCTCCCTTTGAATTTTTCTTCTCTCATAGGGATGGACATGCCAACGGCCTTGGATTGATGGCCTTGGACCGGGACAAGAACTGACATTGTGCTGGCCTGGATCGGGACCGGAGAAGAGGTTCTGGTGCGGAATCGGGTACCCAAGTACCCAACCGGTTTCCGGTGAGCCCGGTCATAAATAATGGAGACCGGACCAGGCGATGTTGGTCCGGTTCTAGCTGGTTCCAAAGGCAACAATTTTAAATTTTCACATTCTCAAATGGTGGAAGAGCCACAAAGGGTTGTTCCCTATTTTATGAAAAATGGCCAAACAGGTGCTGTCAGTGCCGATTTCAAGAGTTGCCGTGGTATAAGAGTTTAGCGAAGTCGGCATCATTTTGACTGTTTATAGAGCGCAGTTGAGCGCTTCATCTCTTGAGACGCTCATTTTCTTCCATGATTGGTTGAAGGTCCGCCGTAGAACACAAGAAGTTAAATAGCACTGGACTGCCATTTCATGGAAACACAAAAAAATTGATCCCGGAAGCGGCTCCGAAGATTAGTTCATGTCTTAAAAGTTTAAACCATTCTCAATTGTAATTTATAAATGGGTAATACTCTAAAACAGTGCTTGTTGTTGCTTTAATAGTTTAAATAAGTGTTTCTAAGCTTTTAGATAAAAAAAGAGCTAAAAATGTGTTTGTAAATCCCAATCCCAACTTATAATTAAAAAAGTACTTTAAAGTTAAACGTTAGAAGCTGGAATATATCAACTTCTAAGTGCTTCTAGGTATACTTGTAATTAACTCAAACTTTATGGATAATAATAATGGCAACAAAATCTCTAAACCCCCGAAATACCTCAAATAAACACCACCCATCTGCCCCATAGCCCTCACGCAAGTGACCAGCCTGGAGCTTTGTCGTCGAGTGATGGAGATTGCAGGCTAGGCGACCGACCTGTAGATGGGGTCAGTCAAATATGTTGACTGCGGCGTTGGGGTGATAACAGGGAGACACACGCCGACTCAAGGGATTCTATGCAATGGTGGAGTCCGATCTAGGGTTGTACAGAATCAAATAACCCTACTCTCTTTTTAAGTCACCCACGCAATCACTCATGCATATTTTAGTGTGTACACATTGTTTTTCTTCTTCTTCAAAGATTCACCACATTAACTTCAACAATAGTATAGCTCAAAGAATTGCACACAAGCACATTATTTAATCAAATCAAGAATAAACATAAAGTGGCTAATAAGTCTAACAACAAAAATTAACAACATAAAGATTGATGATCCAAGTCAAATTTTAGCAAGTACACATTTCAAATAATATAAGTTTCCCCTTCACAAAAGTATTTCTTGAGCACACTATAATTTGAAACGATAAATGTATATAATTCACAAATTTTCAACATATAAAAAGAAACAAAGAAATATCTTTGTTACATGCAATGGACTTTAGCTTGCACCCCCACAATTTTAAATATTTACAAACAAATGCATGACCCTTAAAATTCATAGAGATAATTTCATTTTTATTTAAGATAAATCCATCACAACCTTTATTTGCATGTAATATACGCTTGGATTTTGAAGAACCACACCAAAGCACTACATGCAGCCTAATAGCAACAAAGTAAGCATAGAAAAAAATTGGTTCAACGGTTCTTCAACAACACAACAAAGTAATTAATACTTTGTATAATTTAATGACTATAGAGATGTTATGAAGAGGGTTATCAAAAGTTAAAACCGTTTTCAGCATTAGAAGGGAATTTAATAGTCATAATTTTAAAGCACACTAAAGTTAGAATTTCATTCCCTAAGTTGATCAAATAATTTTAAGAACAATTAAAGGAAAGGGTAGCCTTGTATTAACAAGTTAAAACTGAAATGAAATGGATGATCACGTCCAACGATATACATGTTTTTAACAACTAAAAATTCTCCGGATATTTCATTGACAGTGTCAGACCTTCTCATATGTCATACCGGTATGCAAAAGTAGAATGCAAATAAATAAATTTTTATTCAATTTAAGCAATTAAGCCAGTCAAAATCTCAATCAAGTGAAATCATCAATAAAATACAAAATCTTATATGATGTGAGCTTAATCTTAACAACCATTTTGTCATCCCCTATATATAGGACTATAGGAGGATAGACCCATTTTTTTAATTCACAATTGTGTTTGGTAGTCACAATATATGTCTACCATCTATTCATTCACACATCACTAGTCAATTTTAAAAATTAACCACACCAATTATAGCATCGCCGTCAACAAAATTTACACTTTATTTTGGTAGATTGTCTTCCCCAAAACTTTTGAGGAGTAGTAGATGCTTTTGAGTTTTGACAATAACTGTTTAACAGATGACGGTTTCAATAAATTAAAGCAAAAGACTTGGATTATGATTTTGTCTATTTTGTTCTTGCCACTCAAAGACTAGATCTCTACATATCAATTGATTATCGATGTGATGATGCTCTTAGGTAACCATTTAATTCTTAACAACAAGAATAAATATCACCTTTTTTTTTCTTTAACAATCTTTCTCTTCTTTGGCTATGATGTTAGAACATAGTCATGCCAATTGGCAACTAGAGAATACTCAATGATTTCCCCTTAAATTCTTTTCTTCATGGGCTAACTTTATAAAACACAATTATGGCTTAAGCGAAAAAGTCTCTAATTCTTCTCTTCTTTGAATAAGATTTTAGAATAATTTAATGGCATAAGATAGAAATAACAATTTTTGTCCTTTTCTTTATTCTCTTTTGTTTTCTTATGTGACTATGATTTTTAACTCAGAAATGGTAAGAGAGTACATTCACTTCTTTTTCTTTAGTTTTTTTTTTCTTTTCTTCATGTGCTTTTTTAATCACAACCATGGACGAAGAGAAAAATATAATTTTTTTTAAATGCTTTTGGGACAATGATAGTAAGAAGAGAAAAATGCATTTTTTGGTCACTTATTCTCTGAACAAAAAATGGGTTAGAAGGAAAATGATGACTTTTTTTTTCATCTCCTCTTGGCCTACTATCTTAAGACATTGTGATGGTTAGGAAAAAAATACGGAGTAAGTCATTTTAAGTTTTTTAACCACCCTATTAGTAAGTAAATTAAAGATGCATCTTTTTCTCCGACTAAAATGTCAAAACACGACAAAACACACCAATTAATTTG